TGTAAGACAGTCATCATATGGATCAAATTCCAAATCAGATGGTTACCGCTGGATGTGTGGTAATACGGTAGCTTCGGCTACATACAGTATATATGCAGCCCGCTGGATGTGCAGTAATGTACATACAGTATACCGCGCTGAGCCAAGCTGGCTCAAAACAAATGTCCCTATGACAGATTAATCTGTCAGCCCGCTGGATGTGTGGTATATACAGTATACTGAGTATATACCACTGTGCTATATACAGTATACTGAGCCAAGCTGTTTCAAAACGTACCGGTACATCCCTACTGTAATCAGACCGCTGGATGTGTGTATGTACGGTAGCTGAGGCTACATACAGTATACGCTGGGCCAATCACGGTGAGCGATGTATTCTGTTAATGAATACAAAGCCTGCTCGGATTGGCTGAGGTTGTGACATCATCAGCCCACCTCTCTGACTCAACCAGTCCGAGCAGGCTTTGTATTCATTAGTAGAATACATCACTTGCCGTGATTGGCCCAGTGTATACTGTATGTAGCCGCAGCTACCGTACATACACGCATCCAGCGGGCTGATTACAGTAGGGACGTACTGGTACATTTTGAAACCGCTTGGCTCAGCGCAGTATACTGGGTATACCGCACATCCAGCGGGCTGTCAGATTAATCTGTCATAGGGACATTTGTTTTGAGTCAGGTTGGCTCAGCACGGTATACTGTATATACCGTATTAACACACATCGAGCCAGCTTGACCCAAACAAACTCAAGGTTCACATTTTATACCCCGCGTATAAGACGACCCCCAATTTTTGGGGTATATTTTTAAGTATAAAAAGTAGTCTTATACGCCAGAAAATACTGTGTGTGTGTGTGTGTGTGTGTGTGTGTGTGTGTATATATATATATATATATATATATATATATATATATATCTACCTTAACTTAGCTTTTATATTGCAAGAATTGATGTCATTATCCTGGCAAACTTCTTGGGAAATGCTCAGTATCCCAAATCTTGCAAAATGACTCTTTTGGTACAGGGTTTTCCCCATGAGACTTGGCATCCTCATCATTCCCAGGATCTTGCCAAAAGGCATAAGGACATCACCCTTGCCTAGGTATGGTGGGCAGAGACTGAAGATAAGTACAGTATGTATTCCAACTTTTGATTCTCTATGGTGCATTTTTGTGCATATATCATATGGCAATTCAAAAATGGGAAATAACCCTGATACAATGAGCTGACCTTACTGGTGTAAGGCCCACTATAAAGGCACATTTTTCATATTTGACTTAAGGGCATGTTTACTGTGTTGAAACAAATATAAGAAATCCGGTCATGATTAGGCATTTGTAAAAATTTCAATATTTAATTTCAAATGAGCCTACATGTGCTCACGTAAAAATAAAGTCGTATCTTTTTGCTTTCTTTATTCATCCTGATGATTTTAGGCCACTCGAATAAAAGGGAAGGGTCACTCAAAGTGTTCTCTGCTAACTGTCTACCCTTGTGCTGATAACATAGCCTTTTTTTTTTGCAGTAATTTCCTAAGGTTATGATAATTAGGTACATAGAGCAGTTATTGAACTGTATTATCATATATATATATACACAGGTGTACCTCAGGTTATGAACGCCTCAGTTAACGTAATTTTCAGTTTACGAATGAAAATCCATTGAATATAATGCCTCGGTCTACCTTTTTTTTTTCACAATAGGAACGGATTACATTGGTTTTCAATGCACTTACGAACTGTTTTTTTTTTTATCATGTCTCTGTTACAGTACTATGCCTTTTTGAAGAGTTTTGAACAGATAAGACTTTTTTTTTACTTTTTTCTGACCTCCAGAATGGATCAATTGGTTTTCAATGCATTTATGAATTAATTTTTAATCATGTCCCTGTACAGTATTTATGCCTTTAAAGTGCACTTTATAAAGAGTTTTGAACAGATAAAAGACTTTCTTTTTACTTTTTTCTTACCTCCGGAACGGATTAATTGGTTTTCAATGCATTCCTATGGGAAACTGCGAATTACGAATTTTTTGCAATACCAAAAGTCCAGCAGAACGAATTAAGTTCATAAACCGGGGTATGCCTGTATATATATATATATATATACTGTATATATATATATATTATGACATACTGTATAACAGATTTATTCTGTGTGTTAACAGTGGTTATATAATAAGTCTTTAGTGTACAGTATATATATAATATTTTGTATAGGTACTATATAACAAAAATTGGGTGTACTGTTACAAATACGCTACCCTTCTTAGCAAGTCATGGTTTGCAAAGTATTAAGTGTTTGCTAAAGTATACCTGTCAGAAATATGGTACTGTCAGTGCTGAAATTGTTTTTAAAAAGCTACTTGCCTGTCTCTGTCTGGCTTCATTGCTTATGTGTGTCTGTCTGTAGCAAACATTTCCTTAACAGAATTATTATCTAAGTTTTATTAATGATTAAAACCTAACTCCCAGCTTCCCCTTCCAGCTTCCTTGTGTTTCTTTTCTCCTTTCCACCCTCTGAGCTGTATTTTTTTCTTTACTTTTTGTATTAATGGTCCATGCAGGGCTCTCTTCCTTTCCCCTTTTTCTCTAGCAATAGTTGGCCTTCTGTGATGCAGAGAGTGGCACTGATATTATTAATTCGGTGTCGCACACTGCATCATTGCATGTGTGTACTGCGCATCATGATGAGGTCCCCTAGGGGCTGTTTCTTAAAGCCTTGTACTCACAGGATGCCTTCAGTATTCCAGATTAGATGACAATAATCATTGAATCTGGAAGTCTGAAGATATCTAATGACAGAAAGTATGTACTGTGAAGGACAACACTGGAAAGCATGTGAATATTGCAGCCAAATCTGTTGTTGTTTTTTTTTAACACCTACCTTAGCACTTTTTTGTCTTTTTTAAGATTTGATTGATTTTACTGAGTTTAGATTTGACTCTAATGTCAAAAAGTGAAAAAGTTCAGATTATGTTAAAAGCTGAAAAGTTTTGTGGATGGAGCATTTTGAACAGAACTTTTAAAAAAGGTAATAGATATTCACACTACTTGTGTATTCATAAATTATGCATTCTGAGTGGAGTTCCCCTTTAACCTTTACTAATCCATACTTAGCCACCAAAAAGCAATGGATTGTTGATTTTAAAGTTCTGTTAATGCATAAATTATATCCTTTTCAGCCCACTTGTTTTCACATTTAGAGCCAAATCACAGCTAATCATACATTTTTAGAACATTTTCTCCTACTCTGTTTTCTGTTTAGCAAATAGAATATTCCACCTGTTCAAAAATATTTTATTAAACTTGTTCAGTATTTTACATAAAATAGCACCTCTGCTAGCACTAGTGCCAATTTTCTTGCCAAGTATGCCTATAGATTATTATTGGATTGTACAGAGATTTACAGACTATTAGAACTTTTGATGTATATTAAAATTGTAGCAAAATATTGTTCTTAAAATGAGCATGTTATGTGTGAACATCAGAAATGTGAAAAATGGCAGTCAGTCAACAATTTTCACAGTTCTAAGTTTTTATAAGACTTTTGAAAACAGAATGTAATACCATTAATGCACAGCACTTAAACTGTGATGTTTGCAATCTTCTGTCGATTTGATGCTAAAGAATTTAAAGTGGAAAAATACTCTTGGCTTCTAAGAAGGTTATATTTTACATGCTGAGATTTACAATCATACGTGACTATGTAGCTGTTTTTTTAAATCAGAAGAGTTGCAGAGTTTCCATTTGTATCCAGTGCTGACAGACACATAACAAAACAAAAACACTACCTGTGCTGGATTCTGTGAGCTGAAGACAAACGATGTTTTATTGTGGATCACTAAGACTTGTATGGCAAGAGACATTCAAATGTATGTCTGGGCAAAATATTTTCATTTGAGGTGAAAATACAGTACCCTGATGCACCAAAATTCAAACAGTGTTGTCTGCCCTTCCCAGTTGTCATATGCTGGACTACAGTACACCTCCCCTTCTCTTCATCTCCATTACATAAGAAGAAGATATTCCATAGTCTAGGAAGGACAACTAAGGCAGGGCTGATGAGACTGGTTGGGATTCCAGCAAAGGCACTGTGTCATCAATCGAATAGAAAATGGGGAGCTCCTTGTATTGCTGATAGGATCAACAGGTATTTTTCTGTATTTGCAGCATTTAAAGAGACAAAAGATGAAAAATATGCATGTATTGAAGATATGCACTGCACATTTTTTTTTTAATTTCCCCAGGCATACAGTTCAACAACAACTGTTTGGCATGAAATTGCGAAGTATTAAAGCATTCTGAATAGACCACTAACTCTTTGGTACTGGCTGTATGTGGACATGTTATGTGCTTTAGCTAGGGATTCTTGCTATGCACTAATGAGACTCCCTAACCACTACAACTTGGCTGCAGGGGTGGACTGACAACTCACGGGGCCCCCGGGCAATAGGGGATCATGGGGCCCCTGTGTCCTTGCCCACACATTTAAAAAAGCCTATAAAAAAGGTACCAGGGACATTTCATGGGGCCCCCTACTGACCTCAGACAGTGCCCAAGTGCACAAATGGTCAGTCTGCCCCTGCTTGGCTGCCAACATCTTAACCACTTGCCTACAGGGCACTTATACCCCCTTCCTGCCCAGGCCAATTTTCAGCTTTCAGAGCTGTACCACTTTGAATGACAATTGTGCGGTCATGCAACACTGTACTCATATGAAATTTTTATAATGTTTTTAAGATAGATAGAGCTTTATTTTGGTGATATTTAATCACCTCTGGGTTTTTATTTTTTGCTAAACAAACCAAAAACAACTGAATTTTTAAAAAAAAAAAACTTTTTTTCTTACTTTTTGTTATAAAATTTTTTGTAAATAAGTGATTTTTCTCCTTCACTGATGTGCGCTAATAATGGCTGCACTGATGGGCACTGATAGGCTGCACTCATGGGCACTGATAGGCGGCACTGATGAGCACTTATAGGTGGCACTGATGGGCACTGATGAGGAGGCACTGGTAGGTGGCACTGATGGGCATTGACAGGCATCACTGATGGGCACTGAAAGGCAGCACTCATATATTGCACTGATAGGCGGCACTGATAGGCGGCACTGACTGGCACTGATAGGCGGCACTGACTGGCACTGTTAGGCGGCACTGATAGGCAGCACTGATGGGTACTGATAGGTGGCACTGACTGGCACTGATAGGCGGCACTAACAAGCGCTGTTAGGTGGCACTAACTGGCACTGTTAGGCGGCACTGACGGGCACTGATAGGTGGCACTGATTGGCAGCACTGATAGGTGGCACTGACTGGCATTGATAGGTGGCACTGAAAGACAGCTCAGATGGGCACTGATATGTGGAATTGATGTCCGCTGGTAGGCACTGATATGTGGCATTGATGTGGCACTGATGGGCACTGGCAGGTGGCATTGTTGAGCACTGACAGCTGGAATTGATGGACTCTGACAGGTGGCACTGCTGGGGCTACACTGATCATCAGGGCACACTGATCACCAGTGCCCTGATGATCATTGTACATGTCCCCTCTGAGGAATGCTGATTACCTGCTCTCCTCTCCTCTCGAGCTGTCAGCGTGACAGCTCGTGAGGAGAGAAATGCCGAAAACAGCTGATCACATGACCAAGCTGATGTCTTTGGCTCTTTCCGTTGAGTTTTTTTTTTCACCACCTCAACACTGGCCACTTTACCTCCCCTTCTAGCCCAGGCAAATTTTCAGCTTTCAGCGCTGTCACACTTTGAATGACAATTGCACGATCATGCAATGTTGTACCCAAATTAAATTATCATTTTATCCCTCTTCTATTGAATTGTACTGTTGCTGTATTGTCTCCTGTTATATTGCAAAGCATTGAGCAATAATTTTTTTCACACAAATAGAGCTTTCTTTTTGGGGTATTTATTCACCACTTTTTTTTTATTTTTTGCTTAATATATGAAAAAAGACCCGAAAACTTTTTTGAAAAAAAAAAGTTTCTTAGTTTCTTTTACAAAATTTTGCAAATAAGTAATTTTTGTTCATACATTTTTATACTGCTGCATTTCTTTGGTAAAAAAATAACGAAATCAGTGTATATTATTTGGTCTGTGTGAAAGTTAGAGTCTTCAAGCTATGGTGCGTATCATTGAAAATTGATCACGCCTGATGTATTGACTACCCATCTCATTTCTTGAGGCCCTAACATGCCAGGACAGTACAGATACCCCCCGAACTTCCCAATGTATATTCTATGAGGCATAATGAGTCTTTTGAACATGTCATTTTTTTTCCCACAAGCTTAGGAAAATGTGGGGGAAAAAAAATTTTTTTTTTTGCACAAAGCTGTCAATTTATAAGATATTTCTAAAACACAAGCAAGAATTACATTCCAAAATACATTCTGCTACTCCTCCTGAATATAAAAATACCATATGTTTGAGACTTTTTCACAGCCTAGCCACATACAGAGGCCCAAAGTTCAAGTAGCACCTTCAGGTGTTCTAGGGATATAAATAATGCATCTAATTTCCTGACTGCTTATCACAATTTTGAAGGCCCTGGAGCACCAGAACAGTAGAAACACCCACAAAATGCCCCATTTTGGAAAGTAAACTACCCAGTGTATATTTTATGAGATTCTATGAGATATAATGAGTCTTTTGAACATTACATTTTTTTCCCACAAGTTTTGGGAAACTGTGAAAAGAAAATGAAAAGTGTTTTTTTTTTTTGCACAAAAGTTGACAAGTTATTAGATATTTCTAACACACAGAAACACTTTCTGATATGCCTCATGAGTATGGCAATATAACATATGCAAGATTTTTTCACAGCCTAGCCACATAAAAGAGGCACAACATCCAAGGAGCACCTTCAGGTGTTCAAGGGACATAAATTACACGTAATTACACATGTAATTTTTTTCTCACAAGTTTTTGTAAACTGGAAAGAAAATGAAACATTTATTTTTTTTTGCACAAAGTTGTCATTTTATAAGATATTATAACACACAGGTCACATAGCAAAAATTACACCCCAAAATACTTGCTGCTACTCCTCCTGGGTATAGAAATACTATGTGTGTGAGATTTTTCAGAACCTAGCCACATACAGATGCACAACATCAGAGGGGCATGTTCAGGTGTTCTAGGGATATAAATTACACATCTAATTTCATGACTACCTATCACACTTTTGAAGGCCCTGGAGCACCAGGACAGTGGAAACACCCACAAAATGAAAGTAAACACCCCAAGGTATATTTTATGAGGCATAATTAGTCTTTCGAACATGTCATTTTTTTCCACAAGTTTTTGTAAAATATGAAAATGAAAAAAAAAATGTACACAAGTTTGTAAATTTATACAATATTCCTAACACATAGCATGGACATAACAAGAATTACACCCCAAAATACATCCTGCTACTTCTCCTGAGTATGGTGATACCACATGTCTGAGACTTTTTCACAGCTTAGACACATAGAGAGGCCCAACATTTAAAACACACTTTTAGGCATTCTAGGGGCATAAATTACATATTTCATATCCTGACTACTTATCACATTTTTGAAGGCCCTGGAGCACCAGGACAATAGAAACACCCAAAAAATTACCAAATTTTGGAAAACAAACACCTACCTGTGGTTTTAGTAGTGCAATTGTCGGCAAAGGATGAGTTGGACTGGTGTCTCGCATGGTCAGTACAAATAATTGGTCAAGGCAGCAAGCTGGAACATGTTTCATACAGTACAGGAAGCAGGCTGAAATGCAGGAAGCAGGCAAGAGCATGGTCCATAAACAGTGTGGCGTCCAGGCAGCAGGCAGAGGCATGGTTGGCCAGGGTCAGATGACAGCTGGCAGAAACATTAGGCTTAGGGACTCGATCCAGTAAGACTTGGACACGGGTAAAGTCTTCTTCTCACCCAAATCTCATCAAAGCCTCCGGCCTCCAGACCCTAATACGGGAATTACAAAACCCGGAGAAAACCAAAAACTTAGTTTTCTTTACTCTGGAAAACAACTCTGGAGCTGCTCACATACGTGTGACCTCCATTTTATCTTGAATCCCAATAATACAGTGACAGAGCAAAAGATTAGTTCAGGAGGCAGGCAAAAAGCATGATCAATCATGTATGCACTTGGGTTTTTGGACATGACCTTGACTTGTTTGAAGTTCCACCGAGGTATGATTGTTGATTGAGGAAAGAATTTAGGGTTTTCCTTATTCTTTCCACTTTAGAAATATTATCTCTTCATTTCGCAAACTGGTTTACTCACCCCTTTTGAGTTTTGTGACCAATTTTTGTGGGAACTCCTGGTGATTGACCCTCGCTGTCCCACAGGCCACAGTTTGCTTGCAATATTGATGGCAGAATAGTGGGAGACTTGTGTAGAAATTATCAATTTACAGAGGGTAACCCTTCTAGAATAACGGTTCTACAAGTTGCCAAACTATTTTGTCATTATTCCCCATATAGGTAGGACATCCAAGGGGGGTCTAGCTGACTGTTCTTTTTCTCATATATTTTGAAGTTATATGTATATCCAGTGACCCTGTTGCATACCTTGTGAAGTGAAGTGGACAATGGACTCATCCACACAAATATTATTGTTGGGAGTAAGCATTTCTGAAAACTTGCAGGAAAAGAAATTGAATGAGTGGCCAAATTTTGAACAGCTTGTCGTAATTAGGATGATTGAGAGGAGGGCACTGGATATTACCGTTGAAGTGTAAAAACCTCATTTTCATCTCATAGTAGCATGTTCTGGGCATAGAAGAAGAAGAAGAAGAATAGACCGGCATGTGATATATGGGTTGAGTGGACCAGTAAGCATGGTCTTTGTTTGTTTGCAAGACCCATATTAAATATACATGTAAGAAAAACATTAAATTCCTCCATGGTGAATGCTTTCCACTCAAATGGCCAGGCATATGATAAATTAGGAATGTTGGCAATGTATTGGTTGGCATATAGATTACACTGCTCCACAATGTAATTCAGCAAATCATCACTGAAAAATAAATGAAAAAAATTAGAGTAACATATTCTGTTTCTATCTGAGGGCCTGGCTGTGGGATTGTAGGTTCTGCAGAATTAGCAGGCAGTCATGTTGGACTTAAAATTAAGTCTGGGATGCTAGTATGGGCCCTAACTTGTTGTTATGGATGGTCCCATTACTAGTACCTGGCATCTGGAAGTTCTCTGCTGCTTGTTCTCGCCATTGCACCAGGATTTACAGTACTACTGGTGGATGCCTGCTTCTCCTCAGATTACCAGAATCTCTTTGTTGGGACTCTCTTCTCCTCAGAATCCCATACTGACCCATCGCTTTCAACTGGCTTATACTCAGAATCTGAGTCTGACAGAGAGAGTTCTACTCTACTCTTGTCCGTCATACTCTTTATCTGGAATGCCTCCTCAGTGTTGTATTTTTTAGACATGGCGTTTGGATATTTATTGCTGCACTGCTGATATTATGACAAATGCTGATGCTGCTCTGCTGATACTATGAAAGATATTTATGTTGCACTGCTGACACCATGACAGATGTTGATGGTGCCCTGGTGATATTATGACAGATGTTTGTGCACTGGGACACTGACAGATGTTGATGGTCCATTAGGACACTGACAGATGTTGAGTGTGCACTAGGACACTATAACAGGTGTTTATGGTCTACTGGGACACTATGGCAGATGTTGTTGGTGCACTAGTACACCAACAGATGTTGATGTCCACTTGGACATTAACAGATGTTGATGGTCTACAGGGACACTGACAGATGTTGATGGTCTACAGGGACACTGACGAATGTTGATGGTCAACTTGGACACTGACAGATGTTGATGGTCCACTATGGACACCAACATATGTTAATGTTGCAATAGAACACCACTGCCAAGTGTTGTGCACTGGTACACTGTGTAAGATTGATTGAACACTGGTACACTGTTACAGATGTTGATGGGGCACTGTGACACTGTGGTGCACACTGAGGACACTGGCTGGGTGATCAGTGTGTAAAAAGCAGTTATAATGCTGTATAACTCACTGATACCTGTCTGGCAGGCACAGATTGACTCTCCTTCTCCTCACACTGGCTCTGTGTGAGGATAAAGAGAGCTGATCAAGTAAACACCGACGTGTGTTTACATTACATGATGACTGTGATTGGATACAGCCATCATGTGATCAGATGGGTCAATTGCAAAGACCATTTGTGGATCAGAGATGCTCTGTGTCCAAGGGACATGGACACCGCGGGAGCATGCCACTGCATGGCCATGCAGCCGCACGTATATCCATGTTCAAAATGCCGCTTGTCCCACCTGGCCATTTACTGTATATGCAGTGGTTGGATGGAAAGCGGTTAAACAAACATGATATATTTACCTCTTCTGTGCAATAGTTTTGAACACAGAAGCCTCAATACTCCTCTTTCAGGGTCACCTGCCAGCTGTCCTGGCTCCTCCCCCCACCAAGTGTCCTCATAGCAA